TGTTCAATTATTTACGAAAATACCACCGCATTTTTTTTAAGCTATTATATCTGGACACGTGTTGCGCGCTGATTCGTTCGCATATTCCTTCCTGCGTACTTATTCGCACCTGAGTGCATCCTTTTATATATATATATATATATATATATATATATATATATATATATATATATATATATTAATCAAAACCTAGTTTTTAGTTTTAAAATTAAAAATTACACTAATTTAAGATTTTGACTAAGAGCATATCGGGGACGGAGAATCCCCGTCTCTGCCTAATTCCACACGGGAACGGACATAGGGACTATTTTCAATTTCTTGCCAGGAATGGAGACGAGGTCGGGATTTTGAGGACGGAGACGGGGATTAATGAGATGGGGATTTATGGAGTATAATTTTTCACATATTTGGACAAGCTAGGATTAATGAGATTGTCTCATAAATTATACTCCATAAATCTTGTTGTAGGATTAATGAGATGGTCTCATAAATTATACTCCATAAATGTTGTGGTATCTATTAAAATAGCCTTACTTTTCGGAATGTGGATTGATGTGATTCTAGAATTGCTCAGTCGTTCTCTATGACTTCCGCAAATTATTTTGTAGATTCCAGTCCTCCCTGCAAGGTAGACTCAAATATAAAAATATACAATATATATATTAAATGTTCACAATTTTTATATACTAAATGTTCACAATTTACATAATAAATGTTCATAATTTTATATACTAATTTACTAAATGTTTACAGTTCAATATATAATTTGTGTATTTTGACCCAAATCCACCTTGCATTGTGGACCCAGGTCCATGGCGTAACTGTCGCTATGACTTCAATGCCTATTGTCAATTTCCTGGAATAACATGGGATCAAGGTTGGATTTTAGGGTGTGCAAAATGCCTAAGGGCACAGGACCTCAATTTGTAGAGGACCAAATATTTATTTTTGACTTAGCTACTTAAGAAATTAAAAAAAAAAAAAAAACTGCAATTAATCCTGAAACTCGTTAGTTTTTTTCCCCAAGTCACTCCTGAATCTGTAGAGTTAATTTGAAACATGTATCATTCACTAGTTCACCACCAATACCGCCTGAGAAATTGATTCCTCCCCTTAACAAATCGTTATACTTGCATTCCAAACGATAGCGACATCCCAGCAGATAGCCACTAGCTAAGTAGTTTCAAGATTTTTTATTTTTATTTTTCTGTTTGTTTAAACTTTGGAGATAGTGATTAGTAAGATTCTTATTATTTGATTTTAAAGATTGTGCTTATACTATTAGTAGTGCCTAATTTATTTACAGGATCGGAGTCACAAAAATTTAAAAAATGACCTTGCATGAAATTGTGGGTCTGGGCCATGCAATGCCGTACGGCGTAGCATTTAGTTTTATAATTTTGGAATCACTCGTCACGGCTATGGAATTGAATCCTCGGACTTAAATTCAAAGTTTTGCTGTTTGGTCGTCGACGTGTTAGAACTTTTTAACGTGCAGGGGAATTAGGGAGCATAACAATCAAAGAATTCAATGTTCAATGCCTTCTGTCTTTGAATATATATTATATTATATTATATACATGATGACCATATAATTCTTTTTTTATACTACTAACTCTGTTACAATGTAGTATCATAAAATTCATTTTATTTATAATTTTATTAATATTAAATATTATTTTATATGCGCGATATGTAAAAATATATTCCCAATATTCATACTCAATGCTAAAATATTTTTTAAAATAATAGTATATAATTATTTTTAAAATGTATAATTATAAGATTCATTTTTTTAATGCTGATAACTCTATTAAAATGTAGTATCTGTTCACAGAGCCAATGCTCCTACACTGGGATTTGAACCTGAGACCTCTCATTTTAAAAAAACAACAATTATACCACTCAACCACAAGACCTTTGGCATAAAATTTATATTATATTAAAAATATAATTGATAATTTGAATAATAATTATGATATGATTAATATTATTAATGTAAGAATTTTATATATGAAATTATTAAATATAATTATGGTAATATTTAATTAAAATCTAATGAAATTTAACTTATTTCTCATAATAGCATACCGTTGAAGAAAATAAAAAAAAAAATATTGTGTATGCATGTGCAATTGTGCATGGTAATAATAATAGGATGATGACGAAAATTATAACGATAGGGATACTTTTATTCAAATAGTACAACTCTTATAGCATAATGTATAAAAAATATTTAATAGAAAAAAAAAAAAACAGACATAAACTAGGGATATAACTTGGATTGAGACTTATTATGTTTTTAGATATTATTTTAAAATCTTATTGGTAACTATAAATATGAACACATGAAATTAGAAACTCGATAAACATAATTTCAAAATAGCCATTATGTTGAGTGGAAGTCAGTAAAGGGTCAAGTCCAACAATTGGTCGCTAGGGGACTATTAGGTGGAGGCTAGTAAATTCAAATAGGGAAAATTGTAAAAAAAAATGCCCCTCTATAATATGTCAATTATCAATGTCACCCCTGAATTATGAGTGGTGTAAATGTTGCCCCTCAATTATCAAAATGGTGCATATATAGCCCCTCCCGTAACGGACATGTGGTTCCCCACTGTTGTCCATCGCTGGTACTTCGAATCGAGGGAGGGAAAAAATAACTAAATTACATATTTACTCCGATTTAACGATGTCGTACACTAACGGGGAACCACATGTCCGTTACGGGAAGGGCTACATGTGCACCGTTTTGATAATTGAGGGGCAACATTTACACCACTCATAATTCAGGAATAACATTGATAATTGACATATTATAGAGGGGCATTTTTTACAATTTTCCCATTCAAATATTATAGAACTTAATTGAAATGATTAATTTTTACACATTGTTAATGGTCGGGTTAAAAGCAATTAATTTTTAACTTAGTGGATAATATTCAAAGTTATGAACGAGATAAAATACAATCGTTATACCGTGCATCAGGGTGCACATAGCAATGAGCGCTCCGCGCCTTCTAAAATGACGTCGTTTTGTATTCGTTATAAAATTATGTGTTTTCAGGTATAAAATTCTGTACATTCGAAACAGGAGATTTTTATCCTTTTAAAAAAGATTATGTGTTTTCAGATATAAAATTCTGTGTTTTCTATTATATAATTCTATACATTCGAAACATGGAAATTTTCAGTTATAAAATTATGTGTTTTCAGGTATAAAATTCTGTGTTTTCTATTATATAATTCTGTATATTCGAAACATGGGGATTTTTAGTTATAAAAATTCTATGTTTTCAGGTATAAAATTATGTGTTTTCTATTATATAATTTTGTACATTCAAAACATGATTTTTTTTAAAATTGTTTTTAAGAGATTAACAACAGACACATAAAAAAAGTACAAAACAACGTCGTTTTGGACCAGGGCGCACAATACATTGTGCGCCCTGGTGCACGGTATAATTTGCCAATAAAATGATAGCATACTTATCTAAAAATAATTACACAAAAGACAACAATGTAAAGTAGGTAAGAAGTAATTACCAAAAATATAATTTTTTAGTATAACTTTTTATATTAATATAATTCCCTCCGTCTTATTTTATGTGTCTAATTCAATTAACGAGATTTGACTGAAGTTATTTTTAATTTAATTTTTCATAATATTAAATTTAGTATTAGTATATAAATTTATATATTTAGAAACTACATTAAAAATAGTATTAAACACAACAAAAAAAAATCAAATTTAGGAATAATTAAAAATTACTAAAAAAAATAAATAAAGAAGAAATAGTTGGTTTAATTTGAACAATGAATATCAAAAAGGACAGGTATGTAAAATATGACAGGGGAGTATCTTGTATATTATACTTTTTTTTTTCTAAACTATTAACTCTATTACAATATAATATCTGTTTATAACTATTTTCTCAACCTACTGAAGCACAGATAGTCAATAGAGCCTCCACAGCTAAAACCCACAACCTCCCATGTGAGAATTCAACTTGATACCATTGGATCACAAGACCCTTGGTATCTTGTATATTATACTTACTTCTTGTATAATTATAATTTTATTCAATTTTATCCTTTTATTTTTTTTCATTTATCTGTAAATGTAATAACTTGTAAATTGCATTTACATTCAAGTACAATTACAAATTCTTCCTGATTTATTTTATTTTATATTTTTATATGTTACTCCGTATTTTAATTATCACTATCTATGTATAATTTTACTATTTTCACATTTACTATTTATTTAATTGTGGAATGATGAAATTAATTCAATTAAAAAAAGTAATTAATTCTAAAACCATATAGGCATTGCAAAGTCAATATAAATAAAATATAGAAACTCCCAAGTTTGGGGTAGAATGACTTTAACTTAATTAACTCCTATATACTATGGAAAATAAGTAAATAATTTATTTATTTTTGACTCTTCCTTTAATTTCATTCATATATTTAAGTTGTTTCATTCATTCATGAGTTGAACTTTTTACTAACATCATTTTCCATAAGTTTGTTGCACAAAGTATTTCTAATGCAATTTATTTTTTCTGTGTGGTATGTCACCAACATATTTTCCTCGACCATCATTTATTATTTTTCTAGATATTTATCATGTTTTTATTAGAATTTACTTTATGTGTGCTCCAACATATTCAAGCCAGAATAAGAAGAAGTCTTATTTTGTACAGTTGTTCTTGCAATTTGTGAACGAAAAGTAAAACTAAAAATATGAAGAAACTTTCCTAGCTACTTCACGAGTTCTGACTCGTTGAATTTCTAAATTTCACACAAATTCTTTCCATCAATTCCTTGCAGTCCACCTTTCAACAGTCAATGTTCTTTTAATTCCAACGAAAAAGAAAGAAAAAAAATTTAAAATTAAGTTTCAATAAGATCAAAGTCTCCTTCCCATGCGTCTCATGCACTTATAAATAAGCCCTCTTCTCTCATCTATTTCACACAACTTCAATTCATTCAGCATTTACTTTACAGAATTTGCTTAGCAAACCCAAAGAGAAAAAGAAAAGAAAAAGAAAAACCAATCATGAGAGCACTACTTCAACTTGGTATTCTTAGTATTTTAGCCTTTCTGTCTCTAATTTTTCTTTTGTCCATCAATCCCAGTGATGAAGACAATAATGGAGTTGTTCAAGAAGATATAGGAGTGTGGGTGAGGAAGAACCATCTTTTGTTGCCATCTTTGCAGTGGAAGCATGTTACTCCTCCCTCGCCCAACTCCGGGACCAACTCAATTGGTCAAGTAGATGAAAAGAATTTCGTGGGTTTGAAGCCCAAAACGAAACATCTTTTGCTACCATCTCTGCAGACGGGCGGTGTTCCTCCGCCCGTACCCAATCCTGGAAGCAACATAGTCCCCCCTCCACTTAATGAAAAGAATTTCGTGGGTTTGAAGCACAAAAAGAAACAACTTTTGCTACCATCCCTACAGACGGGCCGTGTTCCTACTCCAGGACCCAATCCTGGAGGCAACAATGCAGTCCCCCCTACACTTAATGAAAAGAATTTTGCGGGTTTGAAGCACAAAAAGGAACATCTTTTGCTACCATCCCTACAGACGGGCGGTGTTTCTCCTCCGGGACCCAATCCTGGAGGTAACAATGCAGTCCCCCCTACACTTAATGAAAAGAATTTCGCGGGTTTGAAGCCCAAAAAGAAACATCTTTTGCTACCATCCCTACAAACTCGCAGTGTTCCTCCTCCAGTACCCAATCCTGGAAGCAACACAGTCCCCCCTACACTTAATGAAAAGAATTTTGCTGGTCCAAAGTCAAGAAACCAACATGTTTTACTACCATCCTTAGCAAATGGCCTTATTCCTCCTCCATCACCCAACCCCGCAGGAAACTCAATTAGCCCTACAGTTAAGGAAAAGAGCTTTGCAGGTTTGAAGTCCAAAAAGAAACATCTTTTACTACCATCCCTGCTAGCAAATGGCCTTGTTCCTCCCCCATCACCCAACCCCGTGCAAAACTCACTTAACCCAGTTGGTGAAATGAACTTTGCAGGTTTAAAGACAAGAGACAACCATATTTTGACACCATCTCTGATAAGGGAAACAGTCACACCTGCAAGAACAAACCCTAGCCAAAGAAAGAACTTTGTAGCAAGGAAAATGGCTAATGGTCATCCTCCACTGGCTACATATATCTTGAAAGGCTACCTGCTAAGTTAATGGTATTACACAAGGAAGCTAATGAACATTTCATTCATCTGTTCAACTGATCTTTCTCTGATATACAGTTGTTTTTTTCTAATTTTTTTTTTTTTCAAATCTGTTATGATGATGAAGGAATAAAATCAAAGGAATATAATGTAATAACTAATATTCCGAATTATGAATTCAAAATAAAAAAGTGTTATGGTTAATAGTTTAGTATCTGTGGATTATATTCCAAGATATATATGCAGGCAAGATGGATGTTTTGGTCAAGTTTTCCTTATTCTTTAATTTGTGCCGTATCATTCGAGTATGTTATTGTTATTTCTATAATTTAATTTTTAAATGTACATTTTAGGCTCCCGTTGAGTACATAAAGAAAAAAGTCTAGAGGTGATTGAATAGACTTTGTTTAAAATTTTAATGAAAACCTTAATTAAAAACTTACCAGAATTTAGATTAAGTTAAAACTTTCAATACTTTCCCAAATATTATATTGAACACTTAACTATATAGTCCTAAAAACATGTTCCTTAAAAAAAAAAAAAGTTTGCATGATAGAAATAATGATTTTTTAAAAGATTGTTAAAGAAAGAGTATGACAAAGATAATGTAAAGTGTGTAAAGTAAAACGAGACAAAGAATTTTATAGTAATTTTGAAGGTGATGTAGTAATCCTTCTACACCAATCCATTCTTCTCCCAACGTCAGAGAGGATTTCACAAGTAAACTTGTACCTCCACAAAATTTACACATAAAGAGTCAAACGTGTGCTTTGATCATAAAGTCAGCACAACACATGTTTGCTTAAGTTTTCACAAGACACAACTCTACTACTCAGCCTCAAATTAAACTACACAACGATAGATGATATAAGTACGATTTTATATATAATTTAAATATATTTTAAGATATAATTTGCTCAATTAGTTTATGTTTTAGTTATTTTTCTTTAAATATATTAGCAGAGAATTAATATATATAATTTGATTACAAATTTTATAATCTTGGAATGTGCTTGTTTCAGTTATGTCCTTTCTAACTAATTTTAATTTCTATTTTATTTTCATTTATCTATTTTCTAATAATTTCAGGTATAACAAATATATAACTGAAATTATGTTGAATGGTATTCCTTCTTTCCCAGACCCCTTCTCTCTATTCCAAGATTTCCAGACCCCTTCTCTCTACTCCAAGATTTCCAGAACCCTTCTCGATCTCTATTCCAAGATCAAGCTTCACACATATCAAGATTCATTCTCTGTGTTTAAGTTGGGTCTTCACACATCAAGATTCTCTGTGTTTAAGTTGGGTTTGAATTAGTTGGAGAAGAAGAAAGTGATGTGGGTAGATTACTACAGGATATTGAAGGTGGATAGGAATGCAAAAGATGAAGATTTGAAGAAAGCTTACAGAAAGATGGCTAAGAAGTGGCACCCTGATAAGAACCCCGCCAGCAAGAAAGAAGCTGCAGCGGCCAAATTCGTGCAGATCGGTGAAGCTTATGATGTTTTAAGTGACCCAAAGAAGAGGGCAGTCTTTGATGAACATAGAAGATCAATGAGGAAAGCAGATGCAATTGAAACAAAGTTGGGTTGTAGCCTAGAGGAACTCTACAAGGGAGCCACCAGAAAGATAAAAGTCACGAGGGAGATAATAGGTGATGATGAAAATGGGGCAAGAGAGCTGAAAGAAGAGAATTTAAGCATAGAAATCAAACCAGGTTGGAAGAAGGAAACGAAACTCACATTCGAAGAGAAAGGGAACGAAGAGCCAGATGCTATTCCTGCAGATATTGTGTTCATAATTGAAGAGAAACCACACAGCACGTTTACGAGAGAAGGGAATGATCTAATCGTGGTACAGAATGTAACGCTGGCTGAAGCGTTGGCAGGCTGTACAGTCCATTTGAGGACGCTGGATGGAAGATACTTGAGAGTGCCTATCAACAACATCATACACCCGAATTATGAAGAGGTGGTGGCGAGCGAAGGGATGCCGATATCTAGAGACCCCTCAAAGAGAGGCAATTTAAGGATCAAGTTCAACATCAAATACCCAACTAGATTGACATCATGGCAAAAGGCTGGAGTGAAGAATTTGCTTGGTTCCTGTCCCTGAGATCTCTTCCAGGCCCCCTGTTAGTTGAAGCTCCTCTCATCTCATCTGATGCTTTCAATGCAAATTAAAGATTTAGTTTTCAAAACTTGCTTTATTGCATAGGATTTAGTCTTGCCTATTCACATATCAAAGATGTAAACCTGCTCTGATATGATCTTTTACAAACATTATGCCATTATTTTCTCACTATTTTGGACGTTAGCTAAATTGAAAGTGCAGTGCAAGTTAATTAGATATCATCAGCTGATGTTTTGACATACCTACTATCACTGCATTTGTGATTATTGCAATTTTTACTTGTCTTTAAGTTCATCTTAATGTGGCTTTCAAGGCTTCTTTCTTGAAAAGGCAAGTATTTATCTTGGATAAAGTACCAAGGTTTTAAAAGCAGTAAGGATCTAGCTAGTAGAGAATGTTGGTCAAGATGTCATGTTGTTTATCATCATTCTTTGTTATAAGCTTTACTACTTATCTAAAGTCTTCTTGTTGTGGTCAAGTTTTCTTGTATGTATAAATTGTTCTACTCCATATATGTTTACCTCTTTGCATACTATATCATAGTCTTTGAGTTGTTTCATCCAAAGAATTTATGCACAACAACTTCTTGCTGCTATGTATTCGACTTCAATTGCATTTGTAGGAATAGATTTTTGTGATAAAACACTATTTATATATTTAGTTTAGATATATTATTATAACAAATTAGTATTCTTTTATTTAACATTATATATACTTTGAACCTTATTTTATATTTTGTACTAATGTAATGATTATTTGAGGCAAATTTTATTGTGGATCGTGGTCCAGGTAGCAGTGTGGACCATGAAGTAAAACGGCGTTGTGTCATTTTAATTAAACTTCAATTTCACTTGATAGTATTGTTTTTTTTTTTTTTAGTTTCATTTTTCATACGCACTAGTTTCATTATAGCAATACTAAAGTATCATTGTAATTATACTGCAGTTTTATTAGACAATATACGTTATTGCATGAGCTATGTTTTTTAGTTTCATTTTCAACTCATACTAGTTTAATTAGAGTAATGTTGAAGAATAATTTTAATTAACATCATATTCATTTAACAATATATGTTATTGTATGAGTTCGGTTTTTTAGTTTTATTCTCCACAGACACTAGTTTCATCATAACAACAGTAAAGCATCATTTTAATTATACTAGAGTTTCATTTAACAATATATGTTATTGCATGGGCTCTATTTTTAATTTCATTTTTCATACATTAATTTCATTTTAGCAACACTAAAGTATCATTTTAATTTTACTACAGTTTCATTTGACAATCATATTGGACCATGATCCACACAACACTGTGTGGACCATGACAATCATATTATGTATTATGTTCGATTATGTGTATTTTGTTATGAGTTTATGTACATTCGAAATAAAAAAAAAAAATTGAAGTTAACGGTAGAAAACGGAAACGAAATTTCTAAGGAAAAAAAAAACATGACAAAAATGACGTCGTTTTAGCTAGAACGCACAATGCACGATATAATTTGCCATCTTTCGTTAAGCAAAAAACTGTTTGCGATGGGTGAAGAACTGGCAAGGTAATCTATACTGTAGATTCCAATTGTTGAACTTTGTTTTCTCCCAAAAAACTAAAACTACAACATAGGTCCCACCGGGAGTTGAACCCAGGTCACTGGATTCAAAGTCTAGAGTGCTAACCACTACACCATAGAACCACTACACAAGATGAAGTGGTTAAGAGAGCATGACATGGAGGTCAGAAGAGCGTTTGCAAGATCATCTAATTTAAGCCAGGAAGTCTTCAGGGAAAATACGTTGAAAGACAGATGAAATGGAAGAGGCAGAGGGATTCCCCAGTGGTGCTTAATGTACGTTGATGGTTCCTTTAGAGGAGAAGACTGAATTGGTGGAGGAGGTGCATGAGGTCCTTAGAGACAAAGAAGGCAGATGGATCGAGGGTTACGTTGTTCGTTCTCCTTCCGCGCCAACAACCCCCTGGAAGCTAATCGGAAGGTACAAGAAAGCAGGTGATTAAGAATGGAAGGTCAACTAACATTGTTTTGGTTAGATTGGTGGATAGGCTATCATCCCATGAAGGAGGAGACCATCACCTTAGCTTAATTCCTCCTGATCATCTATTTCTTTATGTGGCTGACTACTGGGATGTGACATATGGGTGGAAATGGCATAAGTTGAAAGGGCTGCTGTCTGGCACTGCAATTAATCAACGGAAAATATTTGGTGTACTCCCATTTTAAACTCCCAACTTATACACATGATGAAAATAACCAATTCTGATTTGACACCTCAAGAAGCATAAATGAGGGAGTAGAATTTTGGGAGTCTATGTAGTAGAACTCTTAATCAACTAAGAGTATTTGTTGTTCACTGGAATCCAGACGAGCCGGATGGATTTGCATGGGGCAGAGGAGCTATGGTAGAAAATGATATAGCTTGTATCCCGGTTTGGCAGCAATTCATTATAACAATATCAAAGTATCATTGTAATTCTATTACAGTTTTATTAGACGATATACATTATTACATGAGCCCTTTTTTCACAAATACTAGTTTAATTATAGTAATGTTGAAGTATTATATTACCGTATGGCTCTAAACTAGTTTCATTTTTCACCCAGACTAATTTCATTATAAAAATACTAAAATATTATTTTAATTATACTACAGTTTCATTTCACAATAATATGCTCTGTGTTTTAGTTTCATTTTCACACACACTAGTTTCATTACAGCAATACTAAAGTATCACAAAAATCTAAAATCTATTCCTACGAGTACAACTGAACTTGAATACATAGTAGCAAGAAGTTGTTGTGCATAAATTCTTTGAATAAAACAACTCAAAGACTATGGTATAGTATGCAAAGAGGTAAACATATGTGGAGTAGCAC